GAGGCCAAGCCAGTGCTCGCTCGATCACTGAAGTTATAATTTTTCACAAAATAAAGACGAAGCAGAATTCAAAATAAATCAGAGATGGAGCGAAAAGAAAAAATTCCTCATATTCATAAAGGGTATTTACAATGCCCACAAGGGGCCTTACAAAAAAAAAAAAAAACAGAAGAGCCTAATCTACTTTGGGAGCCACGTCCTCGGGAATCGCTTCCTCGAGAGCCACATCTTTGAGGGCCGGATCTTCGGGAATCTCCTCCTCGGGAACTTCATCCTCATCTCCTCCGCTCTTGGAGCCACTGGCGAAATCTTCATCATCAGAAAGTAAAGCGGCAGCCTCGTCCTCCAAAGTTTTCGCGTTTTCAATATCAGCTGAGAGGTCGAAGCCACGAGCGTACACCTCCTCGAGAGTTTCTCTCCGTGATTGTCTCCTGGCGCGGTCGAGAGCACATGATAATTTAACTTCATCTGCAATGGAGATCTCCTGCGCCCGAATGTTAGCAGCTTAGGCGTCAGCTCGATACGAGGACACAAATGCCTCTGCCTCAGATTTGGCCTTCGCAAGCTCAGCGGCTGATTTAGCTTCGAGCTCCTCGATCTTACGGCTCCGGGCCAAGATTTCCCCCTTTGCATTTTGAAGCTGGCGTTCGATCAAAGTTGGCTGGTCCCGAAGTTTATCTTTCTCCTAGGCGAGACGATCCATGTGTTGCTTCCACCCCAGGGTCTCGGCCTCTTTCACCTTGAGCTCTTCTCGAAGCTGCTCCACCAGTTCGCCTTTCTGCTGGGCCTGCAAAGTTGAAGTGTTAATCTCTAAATCGAGTGAATACATAACAGACCCCCAAAGGCTACATTACCTCTTCAATGATCTTAGTCTGTTCTTGACGAGCATTTACCAATTCAACTCGGAGATCCCTAACCTCCTTCTCTTTCTGTACATAGAGGCGTTTAAGGCTGTCCCTCTCTTCCACCAGCTTCTTGAGCTTAGCTTCGCATCGGGCAGGCTCAGCTTGAGACTTGGAAAATGCTTGTCGATGAAGCGCCACGGCCTTCACACAAAGAAAAGGAGTCAGACTTAGAAAAGCGAGAATAAAACTCGAGCATAATTACGAAGGTGAGAACTTACTTGTTTGAGAAGCCTCTGAGCCTCATCAAAGATAAACAAGGCATCGGGGTCAGGGCCATCTTCTACTCCTGCAAGGCACTCCCAAAAAATATCACTCCCTTCATGAGTCGTTCCCACGTCAGGAGTCCTCATGGTCTGGGCATCTCAAAATTGCCCTTCGGAGAACAGAGGGCCCGGTGGCTAGTCATCTACATTAATTATCTCAAGTGATTCACTCCGGATATTATCTTCTCTTTAGAGGACCTCGGAACTAGGCTCCTCGGGCTCGCCCGCCAAATGTCCTCCGGGACGAGACGTACTTTTGCCACCCGATGGCTCGGGGGTTCTGCTCGAGCTCCCCTCCGAGATTTCTTCGGTTCAAGAATGAACCACCTCAGCGGTTCGGCAGATTTTGAAGCCTCAGTGCTTCCTTTTCTCCGAGCTACCAACAGGCAGTCGTCATCTCTCCCTCTTCCTCGTCATCCCGAAGACGTTGGGCCGCTTCTGCAGATAGGGCCGCGAGACTGGCCCTAGACTTTCGAGCCTTACTTTTCTTGGGCTTCGGGGAACTTGCAGGCGAAACCTTTTTCCTTTTCTTCTCCTTGGTTGGCTTTGGGATTTCCTCTTCACCTAGCGGGGGTGGCCGCATAACAACAGCGTCTTCGAGGCTGCGTAATGGTAAAGTGAATATTTCACTAAGAAACATCAATATGTGAACAAGAGAACTCACCATGATTTTTAGCTTCCCATCGACCCTTGGCCAAGTCACGCCGATTGCGTTCCGCGTATGAAGAAGTAGAGGCCAGTTGTCGGACCCAGCCTGTAAGGTCCGGAATCGCACCAGGGAACCAAGGGGAAGCTGCATCATCAAAAGGGAGTCAAATCGAGGAAGAATAGGGAAAGCAAAATATTAATTGTCACCGATAAGTTTGTACTTACCTTTCATGTTCCACTCATCGGGGAATGGCATCCTCTCGGCAGGAATTAGATCAGAAGTCTTGATTCGGACAAACCGGCTCATCCATCACCGGTCTTTGTCCTCATCGATACTGGAGAATAGAGATTCCGAGGATCGACGCTGGAGCTTTATCAAATTGCCTCGATAGAGGCGAGGGCTATATAGCCTGATTAGGTGGTCAAGAGTAAAAGGTAACCCCCCTTCGACCTTGCCCGAGAAGAACCCGAGTAATTTAACGATACGCCAGAAAGAGGGGTAGATCTGGCCAAGGGTCACCCGATACTGGTGATAGAAATCGAGAATGACTAGATCCACAAGACCCAGTACCGAATCTGCGGGACCCAGTATGAAAGGATAAGTATACACACTTAGGTATCCTTTCACATGAGTAGTGATATCCTCCTCTGGGGAAGGAATCACCACTTACCTGTTCTCCCAACCACAGTCTTTTTTCACCTGTTCAAGTTCGTCTTCAGTTATCAAGCAGAGGTATCGAGACATGGGCTCACATCGACCTGGGACCGACGCAGGCTTATCGACTTTGAAATCGGAAGATAGCTCACATGGACGGGGAATGCACTCCTCAATACGAGGTGGCACCACCGTTCTACCACCAGCTGGACGTGATGAAGAGGCTTTTTCTTTCTGGGGAATGGTTTTAGATGTTTTAGCCCTTTGTTGTTGTTGAGAAATTCGAAAGAAGAGAAGGAGATGATGCTGTAGCAAGAATAAATTTAGGAAAAAGTAAACTCAGAGAAGATGAAGAAGCTAGTGAGGTTTTGAGAAAGATTTGAGAAGTAAAGAATGTAAATGTTGTGAAATTAAACTATTTATAGCGGTCGCCTTACCGGTTTGGGGAAGCTAATGGCCGACCATCAGTCGCCTCCATTTAATGGTCTTGGGAACTATGCAGAAGCGACCTTTCAATCACTTCAGTCGCAAACGTCACAAGAGTGACATCATGAACGGGGTATCAGAGCATCGACGATCAAATCGTTTCTTATCATCTTACTATAAGAAACGCGAGGACTATCTGTATACGGTCGAAATCAGGTGTGCCTGATTTCATAGGCTCGAGGGGTCACTTCAAGCCCGAGTTCAGGATGGGTCGAGTTCAAGCCCGATGGACCGAGCTCGAGCCCGATGACAGAATATAAGATCGAAGTACGCAATGAGCGCCGAAGCCGGTACGACCAACCCCGAGATGGTGTCGTTATGAGTTTGTAACGGAAATAGCAAGCTCCTACCACGTCCCCAAAATCATGGAGTAAATTCCGAAATAGATTTGTACGAGTTAGTACAAACCTGTACTAGGCGGTTAGACAGCTGTCCCAATAAGATTCTTTACTATAAATAGAAATGTACCTTATTTAGGGTTCTCATACTATATAAAGGGGACCCCAATCATTTGTAACGATCATCAATCATTGGCAAAAGAATATACTCTCTTACTTTCTTGTTCATTGTTCATCAGAATTGTCCTTTAACTTGATTGTTCTTACTTTACTGTTCTTGACCTACCTCGAGGCCACCTTAGCTCGAGGTCGAGATTGGCTTGCACATTGGTTTGATTTAACTTACTTCTTTCATTTATACGTTATATTTCTTGGTTATTAATTAGTATTGAATTAAATCACATATCTTTAAAACCATAAACAAGTTTAATTGTTACTCGTATTTTCGAGGGAAACATTTAGCACAAAAAAAAAAGGTACGGACGCATAATATGCACATTATGATGTGAACTATGATCTACCGATTGAATTATTTTCTTAGTCGCTACAATGTTCATTTGAGCCATTAACTAGAGGCTAAGAGTATTATAAAGCGGTCGGTCATAATTAAGCCAAAAAAAAGATATTTTTTCCCTCCAATAATTTCACCTCAATTTAATTAGCTGATACTACAGCAACTTGTCAAAAAGATGACGCTTCTAGTTTTGTCCCTTTAAAATATTAGCTTTTCGTGATGTCACTCTATAAAAGATGTTAATTAAAATATATTCGGGGATTATCGCTTCTAGCTCGCGCCAGAAACTATTTACATTCAATAGTCGAAAAAGTATATAAAATTTGTATAATTTTTGTATATAACATACAGAATGTATATATGTATAAAAAATATTTTATTATTATTATTTTGAGAGCGGCTATACAGTGTCATTTTTCCAAATATATTGAAAAATGACAATGTATAGCTGTTATAACAATAATAGAGAAAAAATGTAATAAATTTTCTGTATATATATNATAACCGTTCTCAAAATACTAGCCGAAAAATATATATATTTGTATATGTTTTGCATATATATATATATATATATATATTCTGTATGTTATATACAAAAATTATACAAATTTATATACTTTTTTGACTACCAAATATAGATAATTTTTGGTACGGACTAAAATAAAAAGAAAAACGGAAAAAATAAGATTGAGACAGTTATGAGTTCCATTCAGTTTCCTTTACTTGATCGAACAACCCAAAATTCAGTTATTTCAACTACATTAAATGATCTTTTAAATTGGTCAAGACTCTCTAGTTTATGGCCGCTTCTCTATAGTACCAGTTGTTGCTTCATTGAATTTGCTTCACTAATAGGCTCACGCGTCGACTTTGATCGTTATGGACTAGTACCAAGATCGAGTCCTAGACAAACGGATCTAATGGCCCCCTCTTTAGTGAGATTATATGAGCAAATGGCTGAACCAAAATATATTATTACTATGGGAGCATGTACAATCCCCCAGTGCGGCAGAGGGATTAAAGGCACATCTATGGAGTGATTTACATTTCCTCCACCTCTCACTAACGAAAAAAGAAAAAGAAAAAGATGGTGAAATATTAAAAAGAAAGAACAATGTCGTTTTGACATTTGAAGGCGAAATTGGCAACAATAACAAAATACATGAGACTAACAAAAATCCCCAATAATTGGGAGGAACTATACGTGGACGACAAATAGAAGATCACGGCCATGCGCCAAACGTAAAGGTGTCCTGTGTTCCAGCCTCTTCTAGATCCTTCGTGTCGAGAATCGAAAATACAAGAATATCTTAGAAGATTCTTTCTCTACCCAGCGTTCCCTTAATTTAAATTAGAACTTGCCTTATCTTTTTCACCTACTAGTCGGATAATTCTTCTTCTTCTAAAGGCAAAAATTCTGTTGCTTCTTTGAAAAGCTACAACAGTCTTGAAAGTCGCAGCGAATTGTGAATCCTGGTAAGTTTGCTCTCCAAAACTATGCAATTTAGGGGTTCCTTTTTTCGCGTTTCGCGTCATTAAATCATGATTAATCATATTTTGGAGTTATGTTTAAATTAAGTACTGACTGTTTTTTGTATGATTAATGTGTATTGTAGAGATCTCTGAGAGAAAATGAGCACAGTTGTGGATGCGGTGAACCAACTTCTCCACTTCCCAGAATCCATTGAAAGGGTAGTGTATCCGTCCCGCTCGCATGAGACAAGTGAGAACAGGGGTGTGAGTAGCATACCAGTCGACATTCTCGATTCCCCAAAGGAGTACATTTTCTACATGGACGTTCCTGGGTTATCTAAGTCTGAAATTCAGGTTGGTATTACACATTCAATTTTTAATTTAAACAGATTTCTAGCTTCTAATTTCATAGGAGGTGGCAAAATGGGCGGTAGGGTTTAGGGTTTTGGTCAGAATCAGGCTGGAAATGACACCAGGTAGTAGCCACTTTTAAGTATGTTGTTTAAAGTATATTCAGGGTTAACAATATATTTAAAGGTTATCTAATTTTCCTCAAACTTCAGGATTAAGTATTTTGAATTTGGAAATTCAGGATGCCAATTTAAAATTCAGGTTCTAAGCTACTAATTTAAAATTCCGGACATAAGATCAGAACTTCGGAACACAATTTTTGAATTTTAGGACACGTGAACTTTGAGATATAAAGTCTATCTCTTCCCTTTTTGTTTACCTTTTTGAATAAACTTGTGGAAGTTATTGTATTTCACATTTTCACTTAAATTATTAGTACTATAAGTTGTTCAAAATTTGCATAATTTTTAATCTCCAAATCTAATTGTGTTAGTGAACCTTGTCACTGATTGAGATGTGTCACAGGTGACTGTGGAAGATGAAAACATACTAGTGATACGAAGCAATGGGAAAAGGAAGCGTGAGGAGAGCGAGGAAGATGGGTGCAAGTACGTGAGGTTGGAGAGGAGGCTACCTCAGAAATTGATGAGGAAGTTCAAACTGCCTGAGAACTGCAATGTTTCAGCTATTACTGCTAAATGTGAGAATGGAGTGTTGGCTGTGGTAGTTGAGAAGCTTCCTCCACCACCTAAGCCTAAGACTGTTAAAGTTGCAATTTCATGAATTTTAGTTATTATCAATGTACATTTATCGTAATTCAGCTTTGTCATGGAATGAAATGTATCTCCGTTCAGTAGTATTTATGGTGATCTTTGCATTTTCCTTAACTAGGCTTGGATATCTCGTTAAAATTTTGATTTAAAGCCTTAACTCTTTTCTGCAAAATTAGAAATTGTAGAGTATACTGGTTTGGTGAGTTCGTCTTCTACTTTTCTTCGGATATTCTGGCATTTGAAGATCTAGGCTTTTGATTCATACATAGTATATATGAACAACGGTTCCTAATGGACAATTGGCGGTATATCACCAAAGTCGATCAGACTTGCAACACTTGTCATGTAAAAGTGCTAATAGCTGACAAAACCATAGTTCTTGAATTTTAGATGAACTCCTAGGGATAGAGGAAGAACGAACTGGATTTGTATTCCAAGTGAAAAAATGAAACCAACTAAACATGTTTTCTTGTGAATAGTGAGAAAAGCATATTATTTACTTTACCATGCCAAAACTATATTCGATGTGCAGACCCCAGGTTATGAGAGATGTTCGGAGTGGGGCACAATTCAGCTTCTGTTCTCTCAACATCTGATTTTGTATCTCCAATATTTTTCCTTTACTCCTTTTCAGAATTGTGCGCAATTGGCGAAATAAGAATACTTTTGATAGACATGTGATTTTGATAGACATGTGATCAATATGAAAGTTTTCTGTTTTTGCCTCACCTAATTGAACACTATGTGGGCGCTGCTACTGATCTCAAAGTGCTAATGGATCAAACTGAGTGAAAGATTTGGAAGCGTCGAACAAAAAGTATCAAAAAGAAAAAAGAAACACGTAAAAGATACTAGAAGGCTGGTCAATAGTGAAGATAGCTGTTGGCTGACAATTAATCTTCTTCACATCTCTCGCAGATTAAAATGATCTACTTTAGTCATCGGATGCAAACAGAATCTCCCTCACTCTCCGCCCGTCTCTCGCGCTCATGCAAACTTAAATTGGATGCATAACATATATTCCAGTTTCTATAAGCGAAATATTAGTTTTTGTTGACTATTGTGTCATGTGCGTTGGTACATTTGCTAGCTAACAAACGGAAATTCCAAGATTAAACTAACACATAACTGCTCGGATTACGAGAAGACTCACTAAGGAAACTACCAAGAAATGACACTAATTGAGCATCCAGTTGTTCATTTCATGCAACTTGAGATTTTTGGCGCCTCACATACTGAAGAATAGGCTCTTCCACCTGTAGACAGCAAAAATGTGACAGGATTGATTTTCAGGATTGAGAAATATAACCAAGTTTCTCTGGAGAAATTGATACATACCATGCTTGCTTTCCTTTTACGCTTATCCTGACCGGATCTGCTACAGATAACTCTCTCAAACTCATTATATTTGTTGGTACTTTCATATGATTTTCCATTCTCATTTCCAGGAACAAAACTCTCAGTAGAAGCTATGGGCTGCAAAATGTCATATTTTATTAATTATTCCTACAGAATCTTCAGTAACCAACTTTTCAGATTAATGACAATTGAGAGTGAACAACCTCAGCTCTGCTTGATGATGTGTTTTCATGGTCCCTTCTCTTTGAGACAGTCTGATCGCTCAAGGCAGAGCCATTCTGGAATGCATCCGATTTGCCTCTTGTGCGAGTGAGATCTGATCCAATAGAGTGGAGAGCACCGCAAGTGGATAAATCTGTAGGATTGTTTTCTGCGAGTACCAAAGCTGTCTTAGCTTTCGTGATATTAATCTTGATGACAAGCATAAAGTAAATTGAGTAAGCAGGACGGCAAGTTCTGAATAGTTGGAGTTATTACCTGATTTGTTCATGTCCACATCCTGACCAATGAACATAGTTAAAAAATGAATTAAAACTTTTGCGGTGCATAATCCATTGAATCCTTATAAACTCATGACTATTACCATGGCATCTTTCTCTAAGACCTTCTTAACCTCAACCAGCTTTTTCTCAGTCAAGTCAGAGTGGATCACACGCTTGCCTGCAATAACAAAAGCAATCCAGCAAATGGTGGTAACTGCTATTTCTATCTTTCTCCTCCTTGCAAAGCCAAAAGTGCAGTTTGTCAGTGAGTACCTAGCCTGCGGTTGCTCCTAGCTTCAACAAAGCCATCTTGTGTCATTTTATCTATTAGCTTCTTCACAGTAGTTTGATTTGCCTCTCCTCCTAGTTTGCTTCGGAGATTGCTAATGGTTACATAGTTCATCGGAAGAGCATGATACAAAGCCTGAAACAAGACAGTGCCATTTCAAACTTGCTTTCCAGGAATTAAGTATCAAAATTCAACACAGCTCATAACAGAAACTTTTCAACTAGTGAAATGGAGAACTGTCATATGCACCCCTCTTATAAATTTGAGAACTTCAGTTAACTAAATGAGAATACTAAACCTTTTCTCCTCATTCTCTCGGATGTTATTCGGATATCTATCTTTCCAAATCCTTCAGGCAGGATCTCATATATCTCCTCTCTGCTTCTCGAAGTTTTGTTTAAGATCCCAAATCTTATGACTTACTTCAAATTCTGAAAATATATAAATCTATTACTAAATCAGCATCCATTGACATAAAAAACATGGATCCACCTCTAACAGGACCATTATCTTCCCCTACCATGGTGGTCCTCTCAAATCCTCTAGCATCCAACCTTTCTGAACACACAGTGTCTAAGAACATCAATAACCTTCATTTCACATTTTATAACTACCTGAATCACTTATATTTTTTTCATTTGATGATAATATTGGGAAGTGTCCATTTATAAAAGAAATAGAAACATTCATCCATTTTGGTTATGGTGGGGATGCATGTCTAGAGCAGCATTTAACTTGATAAGGTAGATGCACAACATGTCGAAACGAGGAAAATGCAAACTCTATGACAGGACTCTGCACAAAAATGACTTTTGAATAGACCAGTTCCAGAAAGAAGAAAGAAAAGGGGCAAAATGTAGGTGAAGACTTTCAAAATCCATGTATCTCTATATATATAGAGACACAAAGTGAACAGATGAGAAAGTACTGATAAAAGCAGCTTCAAACACATTTGGAGAAGGATACAGCGCACACACTTAGATATCATCAGGGCAATGACAAATATGAAAAATCTCACCTTCATGTACATGTAATCTTCATCCTTGCCACGCTGCAATTGGCTGCTTTTGGGGTATTGTTGGCCGTCAATTTCTTCTTTCACAATGTCGAACTCATAGTTGAATTTCTACAATTGAGTATTAGTTGAAATAATGGTATACCAGAAAGGATATATTAATGGAGGAAATACATATATAAACTATTAACCAGTCAAGGAAAAGTTAACAAACCGTTTTCTTGTTAATGATGTAACAGTCTGTGCCGACACGTGAAAGTATGCCTTCCTTAACAAGCTTCTCAACAATTTCTGAAATCAAAATGAAAAGAAAAATAAACAGTAGAACTACTTAAATTTGATAGAAAAAGATGCTCTATTCATCTTAGCTTTTTCTTTATGGGTTTTTTGGGTCAAAACTTCAGGAACTGGACAAAGATTATTTGATCAAGGGTCTCCATTACGAAGCATAGGTTTAGTGTGTCCTCATTAGAGGTCCTTCCATTACCTTCAACCAAGACCTGCAACCAGAACAGAATATTAGGTAAACTGACCAGTTATGGGAGAAACAGGCACTTTACATGACCACCAGCACCCGAGTTTTTACCACTGAGATGTCTGGGAAATGAGAGAGAACATCAGTCACTTCAACTCTGTCAAGGTGGTATGAGTTTATCCAGTCCTTTAATCTACCAATTTGTTGTTCATCTTCTGCTGGATCCTGAGTATCATCTGAAAATTCAAATAGCACATTAGAGGTACTTGGAACTATGTCCAGCAGGACTGCAGGAAGTTGGCAGCATTAACAGTACCTTCATCAGCCATATTACCATTATCCTGAGCATCTTGCTTCTCTGTGAAGAGATCATTTCTTAGTTAAACATAATGTGATTCAGAAATACTGACGTAAGGAAATGTATAAACAAATCCGTCAAGTATGGACATATGTATTACCAATTGGCGCAACTATGTATTGGTCATCATCAGAGTGACTGAACTGAAATATATCATCATTTCAAAGATTTTAGTCCGGCAAACAAATTTAAGAGGATTGATAGTGCAGTCAAGCTTTACATACAATTGAGGAGAGAAATAACGTTCTACCTCACTATCAGATTCACTGTCATCTCCCGCAAATGAATCAGCTCCCAAGCTCACACTATTATCTTGATCATCGTCATTCTCATTCTCACAGGGATCAAGCACGCTCTTAACCTGTGCAAAAACTACATAATCTGAATTGATTTCACATTAAACTGAAAACAGTTATATTTCCTGCAATAACTGCCCCATACCTTCAGAGCTAATACAAAGTGCTTGCTGTTGACATCACCAACCTCCATTTTTAAAGGACTTTTAGCCCATGGATTAACAGTCTCCTCTTCAGTGCAGCTTTTAAAGAAAGGAGGCTCATAATCAGCAGGCTGCACAACAAGCAATTCTGTTACCGACTTCATTTGACCAATAAATTAACAAGCCAGGTGACATTTGAGACTAAAATGTTAAAATGGCAAGTGTAGAGGAAGTTAGGAAAGGACAAAAAGTTGAGGGAAGGGCATACAGTAACATCGTCATAATAAAGGAGCTTCATCAGTATAGTTCGCTGAAAAAAAGGAAAATTTGAATTTAGAAACAAGATAAATTTTTCAAAATAAATGAAACACGAGTGATCAATGATTAATGAAGCCTGTCTTTAAGGAATACCATAAATCTTTACCTCTTCTGGCATCTTATCCAAAGTTCTCATCAGCTGAATCAATGTACGGACCATTTTACAAGCAGAACTCCTGAAACAATGCTACTTCTTAACTCACTGGTTCTAGCTATCCAAATTCACTAGCATGAGGTGAAACAATACACAAGAATTTCATGATATCAACATAACTACCTCATCTGATTGGGTGTTATTTCAGTGGTTGAGTTACACTTGAATGTTCCTCCTTTCTTCGTTCCAATGCGATTGATATTCATTGACACTTCTTGGCTGTCAGAG